TAATATTAGCAGCGACTATGGAATGGAAACGTCGATGAACTGAATAAGCTCTTTGAAGGGTACAAGAAATGGGTCATAGAATGACATCAACAACCGATCAACCGACGAAGTCAATAGCAAACAATGACATGACAGTTTCACAGCAAGCCATAACTGTCCAGTAAAGGCACTGCTTGACTGGTTAAAATTTTTTAAAACTATCCGCGTAGCATTCGACAAATTAACTTCGTCTGTCGGACTGTTTTCGCTAATGAGGGCTATGAAGTCCAGTCGAAACTAGTTCCTTTGTTCGACGCATTCACCAGTGTATTAAATAGAGCACATTTGTAACATGAACAGATATACTTGTGTGCTGGGTTTTTCTCTGGCACTTTGCTCGCCATCTTCGCATACTCATCGACATTCTGCAGTTCTTTAATTAGCACGTCTGTTTCTATGGAGGACAGAAATTTGCTCAGTGCGTTTCTTGATGGATCTGTACCCATATAGGGAAATTATATTTCTCCGTTTCAGCAGTGCTATCATATGCTGAAACCAGCATGTCTACTGTCGTTTTGCATACCGGGACAAAATGCTCTTACTGCGTAATTTGACCACTGTTTAACGCTACATGATTTTATCAAACGTTCCATGGAGGTAAGCACCCGCTTTTTTCTCAATGGCTTTCATTTTTTTGTTCGGGATATCTTTTGGCGAAGGCCGTTTTATTTTTCATTTGATCAGACATCCGTTTCTTCATCGAGTTAGATGTTTTCGACTAATATTGGATTTCCTGCCATTTTTTGGGACTTCTCTGGAGCGTTCTTTGTTTAATTACCTTTAGAAGCATGTTCGCATTCTGTTGCAAATTGTATTCAGTTGTTTGTTCTTTCATCTTTGTCGCGCTTCATACTGGCAAAGCTTCATGTTCTTTATCTGATCTTTTCCAAAGCGCAGATATCTTGTCATCCTTCCTTCTCTGCCCCGTTCTTTGTTGTAACATTGACTTTTCTTCGTATATTACTGTTTTGACCCTGTCTGGTTATTGCATATTTGTTCTCTTTCGCGTTGTTTGATAGTTGCCATTTCTTATTTTGTTATGATAAACTTCAATTTTATGACAATCTCTGAAAAAATAAATGAATAATACACCCGGCATCTGAATGCTTGAAATATTTTCTTTTTCTTTGATTAGCAGAGGCATTCGAGAATGTTCAACATTGTAGTTTTATGTCGAACTTGTCATCATCCATATCATGTTTGATGTCGTTTCGATGATCAGTCTTTCGGTGTTTCATAAAGATTCTAACGGCAATAATGCAAAGTACACTTTCAACCGGTGCACCATTTACTTGTTTAAAAATAACCACTGAGAAAGAAATAATTTGTTTTTAGCATGCCTTACAAAGAATAATAAACATGGTTTATTTTTGCACAACAAACAATATGGTCAGTTTAATGATTTGTGCATTGTGAGTGAACGAGTTTGCATGTATGTGATTCGCTGCGTTGTTTATGAATAAACCGTGTTTTACGCTGTTTTCAGTGTCCTCACCAACGCATGAGCGAAATGCTGCCGTTTTCCTTGTATTAGTAAATCGTTAACCTAAGTAGTTGGTTTAATCTCAGCGTTACTGCAACGGGATTATTCCTGTTGAAGATCAGGGCATTTTCACAGTTCTGTTAGAAACTTGTGTTAGATTCTGATTCTTGTGTACAACGTTTTTTGGGATGAAATAACTACACAGTTGAGCAAATTTAAATCGTCATTTTTTTCATTTTTCATTGTCATTATTCTGTTGCTGATTTTTTAGACAACTGCCGCTGATTGCGGCGCTTCTACGTGGAAAAACCGATTTTTCTATGCAACTTTACTCAACGACAAACTATTTGCTGTTCTACACGATAATTTTGGATTTATTGGAGTTCATTTCTCCATACGCTTTCGATCGGCATTACGTTGCCTCCTTTTTGGATATAATGAGTTCATTTCTCGAATTCATGCAGGTACTTGCCAACGCCTGTTTTCAGTTTTGTTATTACTGTTTAGTTTACAACTGATTATTTAGAAGCAGGCGCTGAAGTATGCCCATTTGGTAGTACTCCTGGACAAGG